CTTATAACACCCAGTGTATATGGCATTTTTCTTTTGGGGGATAATTAAAATGTTCTAAAGTTAGATTGTGGTGATGGTTGCATAACTGTGAATATACTAAAAAACAATGTGGGTGCACTTGAAAGGGGTGAATTTTATGGTATGTGAATAATATGTCAACATAGCTGTTATTTAAAAAATAAAACACTGCTGAAAAGTCTATTACATCCCTGATCTCCTGCAGAATACAATTCTGACTGTGGACTTGTATACAAGGTTCACAAGAGCTAGTACTTCCTACCATTCTATTTTCATTCTCTACCAAGGGCACAGGCTCTAGTTGTACCTAACAACTCGGGATTTCTTGTGCTTTATTTTGGTGCTACTGAGGCTTTGACTACCCTGTCTCTATCTGCCTAGTCAGCTTCCACTTGTCCCTTCATATCCAACTTGCTCCAAACTGAGCTGAAGGTCCTCTTCTGTGTTTCCAAAGCATCTTGTATGTACCCCATTGGAGCATGCATTGGATTGTTCCATATACTGGCTTCCTTGAAGTACTTATTTTCTTCAAAGCAGGAATTTTGTTATTCTTACCTTTGTATTCTTTACCCTGGCAGAAACTCTCAGTAAATGATGTAAAGGAATGAATGAATAAATGAAATGGACAAACTCTTCTCATTCTTAATTTGGTTTTTGATCTCTTGCCTACTCTTCTTCATGTCTGTTAACATACAGTGTAGGTATATTACATTTTTTCTGTATTACATTTCTGTGTGATTCTCTAGAATATAAAAATCCACAACTTTTGTAATAAAGTAAGCTAAACAAAGGCTCTGCACCTTAAATAAGTTACAAGCAAGTTTCTTTTCTCAGATGCTGTTTTTGTATGGTTTGTATAGTTTAGATAACCAGTTGCTACTTATTATCATGAATTCAGTCAACATTAGAAATAACTGATAGGTGGATCTGATAAATGTGCTTGTAAGTAAATAAATGGAAACTAGCATTTATAATGGAGAAGGCAATGGCATCCCACTCCAGTACTCTTGCCTGGAAAATCCCATGGACAGAGGAGCCTGGTGGGCTGCAATCCATGGGGTCGCTAAGAGTTGGACATGACTGAGTGACTTCACTTTCACTTTTCACTTTCATGCGTTGGAGAAGGAAATGGCAACCCACTCCAGTGTTCTTGCCTGGAGAATCCCAAGGACAGGGGACCCTGGTGGGCTCCCGTCTATGGGGTCGCACAGAGTCAGACATGACTGAAGCGGCTTAGCAGCAGCAGCAGCATTTATAAATTTAGAGTTTGAGACCATTTTGAACTACATTTCACTACTGAGTGTATTTCACTGCTGCTACCCTGTACCTCATCATCTCTTTCCTGGACATAGATGCTAAGTTCTTTTATTGTGAGGGCATTTTCCCAAATTAGAAAGAACTGAAGATGAGACATGGAAGACTCAAAATGAATTTTGTGGATGAGGGAGTGAGTCACAGAGATCAGACTCCAACACACATTTCCCACTATGTTTATAGTTCTAAGTTCAAATTTGGATTTAGAAAAATGCATGACTTGCCTCCTGACCAGTCTTTTAGCTCAGGCGTGGGTTATGAAGATGTCAGATGAAGCAGGCACGTGGGTGGAAAGGTACATTTGGAAGTGATGAGCATCTTTACGTTTACATTTGTCTTTGTCAGGAAGTGGCTGTGGGAGCTGAATATGATGTGTCTTGACAGGGAGTGGGGCTCGAACAGAATGTATCTACATAATCTTCTGGATGCATCGCTTCAGTCAAGACTTGAGGGGATGGGGAGGGATGTGGGAGGAGGGTTTAGGATGGGGAACACATGTACACCCATGGCTGATTCATGTCAATGTACAGCAAAAACCACTACAATATTGTAAAGTAATTAGCCTCCAGTTAAAATAAAATAAATTAATTTTAGAAAAAAAAAGACTTTAAAAACCATTCTGAGCTTTTATATGCCCCAGGAACCATATTGTCTGCTTCGTGGGAGAATATGCATTAAGGGGTGTTCACTTTTCCAATTTTCTAAGAAATCTTCAGCAAACAGAAATCTTTAGCTGAGCCTTACAAATCAATAACAGTGAGGTTTGGGATTGCTTCATGACTGCTGCCTGTGTGTTGGTAAAGTCATGCTCTCCCCTTCACTCTGTACTGGGGGTAATAGCCCCAGGGTTCCTTTTTCTGTACTGAAAGGAGCTTTGCATACACTATTTCACCTGATACTCACCACAACTCTGAGAGGGAGGTGGTAACATAATCCCCATTTCACACGTGAGGAAACAGCTGTGGAGCAGTTAAGTAAATGGCTCGGGATTACACCACCGCCGTGTTAGAGCTGAGATTCCTTTCAGATCCATCCTCTTTGAGGTTACCCTTACTTAGTTCCTATGATTTTTTTGCAGCTGTCACCCATGTGTGATCCTCACACATGGGTGGAAATTAGAAATGGAAAATTAGAGTTTTGGTGGCACTGGTGGTAAAGAACCTGCTTGCCAACACAGAGACATAAGAGATGTGGGTTCAATTCCTGGGTCGGGAAGATCCCCTGGAGAAGGGCATGGCAACCCACTCCAGTACTCTTGCCTAGAGAATCCCAGCGACAGAAGAGCCTGGAGGGCTACAATCCATGGGGTCGCAAAGAGCTGGACACCACGGTAACAACTTAGCCTGCATGCACACAGTATTGTTTAGGGTCCTTCTGTCCCACCTGTTAATCTTTACTTCGGCCTTGAGATGGCTAAAGAGAACAGATGTGGCATGGTAGGCAGAGTAACGGCCTCCCAAACATGTCCCTGTCCTGTGAATATGTTACCCTACATAGCCAAAAGGGCTTTGTGGATGCGATTCAGTAAATGATTTTGAGATGAGAGATTATCCTAAATTATCCAGTGGATCCAAAGTAATCAAATGGTTCTTAGCGGCGTGAGAGGAAGCAGGAGAGAGTGAATCAGGGATATGATGACAAGCAGAGGTGCGAGTGATGGTACTGCTTTCTGGGGGCCACAAACCAAGGAATGTGGGCAGCCTCTAGAAACTGGAAAAGGCAAGGACACAGATTTTCCTCCTACAGCCTCAAAAGCAATGAAGTGCGGCTTTTAGTCCCATGAGTCATTTCTCACTTCGGCCCCTCTGAACTGGAAGAATAAATTTGTGTCATTTTAAGCCACTAGAATGTGGTAGCTTGTTAAGCAGCCACAGGAAACCGACACACATGATGTCTGACACTCAGATCCCTCCACCACATAGGGGCCAAAATTCATGCAGCAATGCTTGGTAATGCTGTCTCTCTAGCAAGCGCTGGTAAGTTCTGGTTATAAATAACAGGTGTGAAGAGTTGTTACTGGTTTCTACGTCCTAAGAGCTGGCCTCACAAGAGCATGTAGAAAGATCTCACAGTCTTGAGGTGCTTCCTTTTTGTTCTCTTTCTAGCACTAAAGCATCTTAAAATTGTTATTTTATCATCTATTGAGTACCTGTAGGTGCATGTTAAGCCGCTAAAGTCGTGTCCCACTCTTTGCAACCCCATGGACTGTAGCCTGCCAGGCTCCTCTGTCCATAGAATTCTCCAGGCAAGAATACTGGAGTGGGTTGCCATTTCCTTCTCCAGGGGATGCTTCTGACCCAGGGATCGAACTCAGGTCTCCTGCATTACAGGCAGATTCTAGGGGATAATCCTCCTCATTATGATTTTCCATCCCTAAATTTACTTAATCCTAAGAACACACACACCATTTCCTGAGAAACACTGGCACACTAGGAAACTGAATTTTAAAGCTGGAAAGGACTTCAGAGATAATCACAGCAGCTTTCCAGGTGGCTCAGTGGTAAAGACTCAGCCTGCAATGCAGAAGACCTGGGTTTAATCTCTGGGTCGGGATGATCCCCTGAAGGAAATGGCTAATCCACTCCAGTATTCTTGCCTGGGAAATCCCATGGACAGAGGAGCCTGGCAGGCTGCAGTCTATAGGGCTGCAGAAGAGTCAGACAGCGACTAAGCAATAACCACAGCTTATAATACAGATGAAGAAGGTCTGCAGGGTTGAAAGTCCTTCCAATTTATAGAGATGGGGCAGTGCCAAGATTAATACTACTTTCTCAACTCCTAGCTGTCTTACCCTGAACTTCTGGCTTAGTTCACCTTGAAGTTTATCTGGACTATTTTGTTTCCAACAGTTTTAGTCATTAACAATTCTACGTTTTTAGAGCCAGTCTTCTTCACTTGAAAATAATTTAGTTATTAATCAGAGTTTTAAATTCATTTTGCCAGTTTTACAAATGAAGAAAAGTGGAAATGATAAATGTTCAGGAGAAAAGGTGATATAAATCAGCCCCAAAACTCATGAATGAAAGTTTATTAATTTTTTATTGTATTAAACATAACCACATAAAATGTTTCATTTAAATACTTTCATTATAAACTCATAAAACATTGAATCTTCATGTAAAATTTCCTCAAAGTATATGGTGACAATTTTTTCTGCGATAAATGCAATGGATACTTGTAATAAGTATCAAAAAGGTTTAGTTAGAGAAGAGCCTTGGCTCAGTCACATGGGTTTTGCTAGAAAAGGTTGTGATCGCCAAAAAGAGGGAGGAATCTCTACTGTTGGGTCCACTTATTTGATGCCAGCTGTCAAACGTGGGGGCCTCATGAGGAAAAGACTATTAGCAGACAGTACAATCCTACTAAGTCTAATAATATATAAAAGAACATTACTAAAGGATGTTATTAATACTACCCCAATTTCCCCATTATTATTATTTCAACCATAGACTTTTAGAAAGTGATTTTCCACCTCTGTTTATCCTTTTGTTTTTTCTGAGTAATTCAATCATCTAGATTAACCTCTGCCCCAGTGTTTATTCTCACTGAATTGATGGAAGGAGATCTGAATAATTTTCGCCATCTCTGACGGGGGTTTTCCAAAAAGACCCACAAGGCATCCAGTGGAAACCACAAACGAATAAAAGACACCCTGAGCGCCGTTCGCCTCACACACGCCCAACCCCGGGAGCAGCGGCCTTGTCTCGGGAGGCAGGGTGGAAACGCCCTCCCGGGAGCCGGCTGGACCGGACAGATGGTGCCCCGGGGTTGGAGACCTCCCCGCCTAGGCCCGCGGCTCCCACCGCGGATGCACAGCCCGCGGGGGCCCGCCGAGCGCGCGGGGTCAGGCCGAGGACGCGCGGGGGGTGAGGAGGGCCGGCAGGCGGGAGGGCCGGCCCGGGGCGTGCCCACGTGACCGCCCCGCCCGCGCCGCAGCCCCCCGAGCCGCCGCCGCCTCTCGGGCCGCACTCCCGGCGTGCCCCGCATTCGCCGCCGCCCGCCTGCCCCTCCTTCTCCTCGCAGCGCCACACCGCCGGAGCCCGAGCCGCCGCCGCAGCCTCCGCCGCGGGCACTATGGTAAGGCGGGCGCGCCGGCCGGGGGTCGCGGGGTCGGGGGGCCCGGGGGGCACCGGCGTGGAGAGTGCAGCCTCCCGCGCGGCTCCGCGGGGCCCTGGACCTGAGGCCGCCATTTTAACCTGCTTTCGGCCTCCAAGGTGGGCATTCCTGCGCTGCGGCCCCGCTGCTCTCTCTCCACCCGGCAGGCCTGCCCTCTCGCTGTCAGGCCTGGCGAGTTCGCTCTTCGGATTCCTGGGGGCGGGGAGGGCCCGGGCAGGGGGCGCCGCGCGGGGGTTAGAGGCCTGAGCCGCGCGGGCGGAGGCTGGGGGCGCTGGAGGGTCCGCCAAACTGTTACCCCGCCACCCCACCCAGCTCGCCGCCTTTGCCCTTCGCTTCCTTATTTTATTCCCACGCGCTCTCTCAATTCGGTTTGTGCGGTAAAACCCCTTGCTGAAGGCTGAGGGTCTTGAGGGCCTGTCATAAAACCCTTAGCGGGAGATTAAGGAGGTGGGAAAACTCTTGAAAATGCTTTCTCGCCGTAAAAAGCTTTTTACACGCGATCCGTTAGTTTTGAAGTGCCTGCATTTGAGCTGTGAGGCAATTATGTTGTAGCCGTGGGCGGTTTGGAGTTCACACTTGATTCTCTTTCCTTATGAGGAAACGGCACTGGCTAGGATGACTTTAAAGAAAAAAATAGTAGAAGCATTAACTGAAATCCAAAAGTGTTTTTTTAAGGCCTGCCGGTTGACACAATACAGAAGGTATTTTTGCTGCTGCTCCTGAAGCTCTGACATCAGCCAGTGAAATAGGAAACATTTCAGGGATGGGACAGCCTGTATTTGTCCCTTTCCATCTACCTTCCACTTGCTTCAACCTCCACACACCTTTTTTAAAAAGGATGAATGGAACAGGATGAGTTAGAACCCTTAGGTGCATCATATACTGATACTTAAAATGTGGCAAATCTGATGAGACGGCTTGCATGGTATGATGCAACTTTTGATGCCCAGACTACAGTGAATCCTCTAGAGCAAACAATAATTTTGGTTAAAACCGAATTACTTGTTCTGAATTTCTGTCCTTTTTTTACTTTCAGGCTTCTGGAGTTACAGTGAATGATGAAGTCATCAAAGTTTTTAATGATATGAAAGTAAGGAAATCTTCTACACAAGAGGAGATCAAAAAAAGAAAGAAAGCAGTTCTCTTCTGTTTAAGCGATGACAAAAGACAAATAATTGTAGAGGAAGCAAAGCAGATCTTGGTGGGTGACATTGGTGATACTGTAGAGGACCCCTACACATCTTTTGTGAAGTTGCTACCTCTGAATGATTGCCGATATGCTTTGTACGATGCCACATACGAAACAAAAGAGTCTAAGAAAGAAGACCTAGTATTTATATTCTGGTGTGTAAAAACAAAAGAAAAAAGTACTTTTAAAATGCAAGGATTATTAACTTAGTCAGTTTTGCCTTTGTTTTTCTTTTAAATAGGATTCAACAATTTTTTTTCCCCTGTAGGGCTCCTGAAAGTGCGCCTTTAAAAAGCAAGATGATATATGCTAGCTCTAAAGATGCCATTAAAAAGAAATTTACAGGTACAAGCATTGACTATTTTGTGCAGAAGAGTTGCTCCTTCTTAATTATAATAAAGTAACTGGATAATTTTTTTTTTCTTTTTAGGTATAAAACATGAGTGGCAAGTAAATGGCTTGGATGATATAAAGGACCGTTCCACACTTGGAGAGAAATTGGGAGGCAACGTAGTGGTTTCACTTGAAGGAAAACCCTTATAAATCAGTCAAGTGCCATCTGGATCTTAAGGAGCTTCCATTTCTCCAGCTCAGTCAATTGGAATAGTATTAGGTGTTTTTTTTTTTTTCTTTTCCCACTGGGTCCTTCCAACACAATGAATGAAGGAAATATCATTCATGTAAGCAGCCTATCAGTGATTGCCATTAGACTGTTTAATACTGTTACTTTTATGTAGAACCCAAGGAATGCCTTCCCATCATATTTTAGCCAAAACAACTGGGTATATGCCTCCTTTGCAGCAAACACTACAGTGAATTGTGATTGTCAATGTGAATCGCTTAGAACACTACAAAGGGTTAAGCTCATTGAATGCCTTCAAAGTATTATCCACTGGTGAGATGGTAAACTTTATTCAGTATTACTGATAGTTGCACTTGATTGCAGTTCTGTGAGGCTTGAGCATTCATACACCTCACCTGCCTTGGCAAGCCTATTTTTTTGTGACATGGCAGCACGGATATAACACTATGCATTAAAAGCACTTTTTTTGTAATAAATTTAATCCCCCACCAGAGAAGGAATGCCAATTAAGTTGTGTTAACTGTGTCATCAGCTTATCCTAGTACCTCAGTGTTCATTCCTTTTTCCTGCATATCTTCTTAAAAGAAATAGCTGTTATTAATGCCTTTTTTTCCCCCATTGAGTGTACACTACTGAATATATGTCAGAGTTTTATGTTTACCATGTAAGTCTTGCAACACTAAAGATATTTTGAGTATCAGTCATGATGGCAATTTCTGTATAAAAGAGCCTTAAATGAAACATTGTTTTTGAGATCAAACTCCCCACCCTCACAAAAATGGCCACGTTGCAATAAAAATTGTGGCATATTACAGAACGGTTGCCTTGTTTTCCTTGGACATTTTGCAAAATACCCCATGTGAAGCAACTCCTAGGGTAAACAGCTATTATTAATCTCTGCACTGGTCATTTAAGAATTTTTTTTGTACAACATTCTATCATGATATTTTCCAGTTTGTTGATTTTATTTGGTTTAAAAAATATTCTAAAGCTAATATAAAATATTGTTACAGAGGTATACTTTTATAAGCTTTATTTATTTCCTTATGTATTAATATGGTGATCAGGAATTATTTTTTGCACTTTGACATACTCTTCAGTATCTGATTAGTTCTCTGGATAAATTAGCATAGTTATTTTTTTAATTCACGTTTACATTTCTAAGTAGTTGACCAGTAGAAGAAACAGGAAGCTCTTATTGCCTATTTGGTCATAGTGAAAATAATTTATAAAATATTGTCCTTCAAAAGTTTAATAATACTTCTCCTGTTTAGGGACTTTAATTTCAGCTACTATTAATATATTTCACAAATTAAAAAAAAAAGTTTATATAGCAGTCTTAAAGATTAGTAGTGGAATTTGGCTGTGGTCCAGGCGGCTCTCCTTATAGAGAATTTGATCTGTTCAGTGTGAGCAGTTTGCTGTTAGCCAGAGCTATTTATGGCAAACACATGCTTTTGTATCTTGTCATAGTTATCCACAAATGGCAAAACTGGACTTGATTCTACTGGTATGCAAAACAGGCATGCTAGTAAGCAGTGGATTGTAGCTTAGAATTTAACCCCATAGCTCTGAAGAATGCTCTTATTAGAAAAAAGGAACTGAAAAATCCCTCCTTTTTCTGATGTCTGGAAGTAATTTGAGTTTAATTAGGTTTTTTTCCATGTTTTCAAAAGGTTTTTCAGATGAAAACAAAAATAGGAGGTAAATGTCTAGGTTTCCACTTAAAATTATATGAATGGCTTGGGAATCTTTTGCACTGAGCAATTTTATTTCAGGCTTCCAGCTGTCCCTGTGAATTATCCTGGACATTTTGATGGCTTTTTGGTAAGGCCAAACTCATAAGTAAAGCATGAGAATACTGACATATACTAAACCATATGTGTAACTGATACTTGTACCATGAAATTTTTCATTATTTTCCTCATTCTAAAAAATAAGGGACTCTAAAGTTTGCAGTCTCTTGTGTTTTTATAGCTGATTTCTCAACTTTTCTTATGTACCTCTTTAATTACATAATTTCAGAGGTTAAATATTGCTTTAAACTGTGGTACTTTGATTTGTTAGATTGACAGAACTGATACTAATATTAAGTTCATCTTTGAAATACATCTTTGTGCATAAAGCCAAAAATAATGATAATTAATGGTTCTTATGTTACTTGAGACTAATTTGACATTTGAAATGATCATTTTACTTTACAATCATTTACATTTGAAACAATGTTCCAGTTAGCTTTAAAAGGTATACGGTGCTAATTAGTAAAATATCAAGGACAATATTTTACTGCTAGCTTGCAAAATTATAAGTGTTTAAAAAATAAAATATATGAAACTATGTAAAGCTGTTGAGATGTGTTTACTTTGGGACATTAAAATTTTTTTAAACTAATATTTCAAATCAGAGAGGCACCATTATCTTTAGTCTGTTTTTTAGGATTTTAGTTGATACACTTTCTCCATAGATAACAATATTCTTTGAAAACTAAGTGTTGTTGCAATTAATTTTGACATTTTTCAGACAAATGGTAACAGTTGGCATTTGTCCCAAACTGGCTATCAGCTGTTGTTTTCCATCATTATCAAAAATAATGTGGCCAACGTTGTGTATTTAATGTGCCTTTCTGATGGTGTAAGAAGAGCCTCTTATTAGGTTTGAATTTCTCTGATATGGATTCTTTGTAAGAGCTAGTTTATGGAATCTAGCAAATGAGCTCTAGGAGAAAATTATTTTTCCTTGTTAAAGAATAATCTCAGCAATGGTAATCATAGGGGGCTTGAAACACTTTTCCCTTAGGTTTGACACTGAAAAATAATCTACTTTAGTTCTTTAATAATAGTTTGAGATCCCAAACAAGCATGAATATTCATTTTACTCTGAACATTAAAGCTACTAGAGATGTGCAGACAGGCTCCAGTGAATATTGCTTTTGAAACAGCATGAATTCACAAATGTTCTGTGTCTCATCTCAGCCAATAAAGAAGTTTGAGGTTTTTATTTTTCTCTAGAACATCCAAATAATTGCTTTCTTTCCATGTAGATCAGGAGTCATCCTTCCACTTCAATTTCTTGTCAAAAAGCAGTTGTGCAAATTAATTTCTCTGAGCCTCAGTTTCTTCATGAGAATGATGATATCTGTCTACCATTCCTGATTGCTGAGGATCAAATATGGAAATACTTTTTGGAAGACAGGAAAATACTATGTAAATATAATTATTTAAGCTTCACTCTTAAATATATATAGTTAAGAACCTATTAAAAATAAGATTTATTGTAAGCCTTTGAACCTCTTTATTATTGTAACTATTTAATATACAAGTTCTTTAATATACAAGTTCTTTAAAGACTGATTAGCTGATAAATTGCAACTGTTTCACAGAATGAAGTATAAAGGGTAGCCCCCGAGTTGTTCATGACTGCTGTTAATGTTTTTAGTGTAATTTTCTTTTTCACGTGATCAGTGAGAGACTAGCTTCTTTTCCCCAAACTTTGAAATAAAGAGTAAATAGATATTCTTGTTTTGGAACACTTGGCATAAATGTATGATCCAGGTTGTTGAAAATCTGACTGTTTATTAATTAATACTCAAAGTTTAGGTAGTGCTTCATAGTTCTCAAAGCACTTGAAATCCGTTTGATCTCCTTAGGTCTTCTTAACAAGCTAAACCGTATTTCTCTGCCGCACATGAAGAAACTGACGTTCGGAGAGGTTAAGGGACATCTAAGCTGTTGAGTAGCCAAATGGATTGCAGTCCAGTACACTTTTCACTCTGCGTTCATAGTGTAACATACAGTGAGTTACTAATTTTCTTTTTTAAAAGGTGGAATAATCAGTTTGAGCAGAACATAACTAATTATTTAGTATGTTTTTAAAGCATCTCAAAGAATATTTGAAAAATATTCTTAGGGTTTTTGTTTTCTAAGAAAGCCCATACTCATAAAAATCTGAAAATATTTTTACACTTCAAATATTTTCTTAGATGTTTCAGTATCATAAGTTTTTTGAAAACCATAAGGATTATATAGACACATTTTCTAGAAAGCTGATACCTCTCAATCCTTATCCAAAATGTTGGATATTTTCCTCCCTCTGTTCCTCTACCCACCTTTCTAAGAAATAGTACAGTATATTATGATGGTTGAATACTAGGACTTTGGTATCAGACTGTTTGGTTTCTTCACACATGGACCTTTAATACTTTCTAATTGAATGATCTTAGGAAAATCACTTAACCTCTCATAGTACTGTGAGGATAAATGAAAGCCGTTGGAATAGTTCTTGCATGTAATAAGCATTCAGTAGGATGACCCTAAAATTTAGTCCAAACCATTCTTGAGACTGAAAGGGAGAGCTAGTAATAATTATGCCTAGACAACAGTCTTAAACTGGTAGAGTACAAAGCAAATCAGATGTGTTCCTCCATTGAAAAGTAGGCTAATAGCAACATGTGATAGTTAAATAGAAGAAACTATTGACAACTCAAGGTCGTCATCATTTCAGTTATGTGTACTAGCTTACTAACTTGGGAGTCTCCTGAAGATATACTGTATTTTGCTCTTTTCAGTATGCTTTGCCAATAGCAGCTTCTCTTACTGTTGCTTTTCATCTCATGTGGACTTGGAAAGCTAAGTTTGTTAGACTTGTGTAGAAGGAACCTGGTAGACTCTGAGGGCTTGAGAGCACAATGCCTGATGGAGCACAGGAGCCTTCTTACATTTCTTTTGACTATCAGAGAAAGTTGTCTGGGTTTTGGTTTTATTTTTTTATCAGTAAGGTTTGTATGAGATCTGAGCTGTCGGTAAAGGAAACATTACTGTATTTCAGTGAGGTGTCTAAAATACCATTAATTAGAGAAGTTATCTTTGCTTTTGATTGTACTTTTGTCATTAAAGGCACACAAAAAGAATTTGTTCCCATTATTAAGAGAGAGAAGGTTTATTCTTGATCCAGCTTTTCTAGA